AATTAGAGTTTTGCATTTCCATTTGAACACAGCACTGAGCTACATGCTTAATTTTAAGATTGCATTTTGGGCCCGTTGAAATGACAAGTGAAGCACTTGCTCAAATGTGTTGTTGATTTTTTTGCATCCTCCTAACTGCAAAAGCGGAGCTCCAGAATGGCTGAGGGGAGAGGTTTCCTGATTGTATTTGGTGGGGAAGGGGAGTAGATTGGTTTTATGTAACAAACCTCAGATAAATGACAGGGGTGTGGGGGGGCTCTGGCCTCTAAATCTGGTGCCCCATCATTCCCGGATAGCTTTTCTTGTATGCTCTTCTCTGAACCTGGCCAAAGCGCCAGTCCCTTCTTCTCCTGCAGCACGTGCTCGCCTGTAGGGTGGTCACACTTCCCTCTGCGCTAGCTTGTAAATCAGGGGCTGGCTGCACAGTGAGCGCTGAAGGAAGCAGACAAGCCTCAAGCTTGGCTCACGTGTCATGGGAAGTCACTCATTTCCTGCCCTGGGCTCTCTGGGGAGAGAGACTTCTCTTTGACAAGGCTCTTAATTAGCCAGAAAGTTGGGTCATAACCACTGCTGTGTCTCCCCTTGTCATGGTTAGACTCCAGGGTGTGTGAAAAATTGAAACAGTACAATGAGCGTTTAGAGCAACTCATGTTAATTTTAGAGAATGAAAGGAGGAATTTCTTTCCCCCTGTTGATAATGATTTTCAAGTGCTGAATACCCCCAGGAAAGGAAGAAAAAGGGGTCTCTCTCTCAACAGCTGTAAGAACACATCCCTTGTAAGCACCTGCGGTTCAGGGCGGGGAGATGCCTGCCAGGGGCAGATTCTTGCATTGCGCTCGGCTCCCAGCCCAGCTACCGTCGGGGCCGTTCAGGGCTGTCTCATGAGTTTGCACGGGGCTCAGTGTTGCCTGCCTTCTCCTCCCTGCATGCTGGGGAAAGGCAAGCCTCCGAGTGCCGGAGTTCGGATTTAGTTGTCAGGGCAATGTGGGGGAAATGGAGAGAGCCTGTAGTTTTCCCTGGTCCAGCCAGCGCGGCGCAGGATACCACCTCCGGGCCAGAAAACGACAAGGAATTTGCACGCACACGGTTGTTCAATGGGAAGTGGAAACCCTGTCGGGTGCTTTCCATAGTGGACATGTTTCTGGTGAACCAGGAGCTGTTCTGAAAAGCTCCAATGAGAAACCCATTTTGGAAGGCCTTTAAAGGCACTGGGCCAGATGCTCAAGTGGTGTCGCCTGGCCTCCTCCCCGATTTACACCAGCAGAGGCTCTGGCCCCGCGTCCCCTGGGAGTAGGATCCTCATTAAGAGATGGAGGGCTCGGCTGAGACCTAGTGAAGGAGGGCAGCTGGGAGCCAGTTGCAGCTGCTTGATCCTCCGGCACTTGGCCCTGGCATAGCAGCTGGTTAACTTGTAGGGAGTCTTGATTCCCAGACAGCACAACCTGGGCCATGACACGCAGCATATCCTTGACATGCCCCCATTGCCTTCTTGCTCTATATAGCCAGAGTTGTCTCCTGCTGGCACAGCTCTGTGCAAGGGTTGTTCTCTGTGAGCCGCTTGACACTATTTGGCAAAGCAGCCTAAAAACAGCTTAACCTTTGGGCATGCTCCCCTGTACCTCAGTTTCCCCATTCACAGGATGGGAAAGAGAATGCTGCCTTTCTCAGAGCTGGCGGTGGAGATATGTGACTTGGTTTAGGGCTGTTTTGAAGTATTTTCATGTCCTTGGTGCCCTGCAAGCATTCGGACGCTCTGCAACAGCTATGTCGGTGTCTAGATTTTTATAAGGACCTAACTGCCTTTATCTCAGGGACACCAGTGGGAATTGGGTTCATAGTTTGGTAGTTTCTAGGGTCGGAAGGGACCTGAGCAGATCATCTA